CATGATTTCCCTTTACAGAAAACCATGATGACTTTTCCCCAGCAAATCATGTTCATCTATGTGTCTGAGAATTCTATTCTTTTAGTTACAGCTAATTTGCCCAGTACTAACATTAGACTTACAGGTCTGTAATTGCCAGGATCACCTCTAGAGTCCCTTTTAAAGACTGGCATCACATTAGATACCTTCCAGTCATTTGGTACAGAAGCTGATTTAAAGCATAGGTTACAAACCACAGCTAGTAGTTCTGCGATTTCACATTTCAGGTTTTTCAGAATGCTTGGGTGAATGCCATCTGGTCCCAGTGACTTGTTTCTATTCAGTTTATCAATTTATTCCAAAATCTCCTTTGCCAGAGTCTTTCACTGTGGAGGAAGGAGGACTCCAGCAGCATACATGCTGAAAATAGGAGGGAGTCACTGCCTGAGCATATGGAGAGGCAAGCAGAGTGTATACCCTTGGGCTACATCTAGACTACATCCCTTTTTCAGAAAAGGGATGTAAATTAGACGTATCACAATTGCTAATGAAGTGGGGATTTAAATCTCCTGCACTTCATTAGCATAAAAATGGCTGCCGCTTTTTTTCAGCACAGAGCTTTGTTGGAGAAAAGCACCAATCTAGACACTGATCTTTCGAAAAATAAAGCCTTTTTCAAAAGATCCCTTATTCCTCATGAAATAAGGGATTTAAGTCCCTGCTTCATTAGCAATTGCAATACGTCTAATTTACATCCCTTTTCCGAAAAAGGGATGTAGTCTAGATGTAGCCCAGGAGTTAGGTATGTAGGATACTATATAGGGTACACTTAAACTGTGCCTACCCATCCACATTGTCCTGCCTGTTGACAGGGAAAGCAAAGGGGCAATTGCCTCAGAGCCCAATGATACAAAAGGGCCCAGAGCTCTTGGACACTGCTATTGATGCAGCATCTGGAGCCCCTGGCCCTTTAAATTGCTGCAAGAGTGCTGCATGCTCAGAGCCCAATGATACAAAAGGGCCCAGAGCTCTTGGACACTGCTATTGATGCAGCATCTGGAGCCCCTGGCCCTTTAAATTGCTGCAAGAGTGCTGCATGCCATGCTTTGGGCAGCACTGAGGGCTGCCTGTGGGAAGCACAGTGCTCTGCCAGTGGTGCTAACAGCTACCTATTCCCTTCCACCCTAGGCACTGCCCCTCCCACCCTGCCCAAGGGCCCAGCGAGGCTGTCGGATACACTGCATACTGCTATTTACACCCATGCTAGATGGGTGCGCAGTGTCTGTACTCTACATGCTGCTATGAGCATAAACATACCTGTTTATGAGTAGGGGCTTCTCTGGAGGCAAAAGAAAACGAGATGATGCCCTCTGACAAATGTGGTATAATTTTTGTGGGTTTTCTCCCATTTTCATCCCTTTTGCAGTGAAATAGAGATGAATTTGAAGACTCAGTAAGACAGGCCTGCAATGAGTCACATAAAGAAAAACAGCTTTGCAACCAGAAATATACAGAGTTTGAATTATAAAAATGAGTGAACCAAGTTTTGTGGAGTATTTAGATTCTCTCCATCAGAGCTAATCTACCCTAAAGTTAGGTCAGCTTAACTATATTGAGCAATCTAAGACCCACTACAGGCACTGCTGTTTTGAGGGAAGAATTCTTCCACTGATCTTGCTGCTACCTCTTGAAGAGGAGTGTAACGGGACGCTCCGGCACCCCGCTATGGAGCTGCGCCATCCCCAGCCCTCTGGGGGGAGGCGGCCCTGGGGCTGCAGCCCCCTACCCTAAAGTTAGGTCAGCTTAACTATATTGAGCAATCTAAGACCCACTACAGGCACTGCTGTTTTGAGGGAAGAATTCTTCCACTGATCTTGCTGCTACCTCTTGAAGAGGAGTGTAACGGGACGCTCCGGCACCCCGCTATGGAGCTGCGCCATCCCCAGCCCTCTGGGGGGAGGCGGCCCTGGGGCTGCAGCCCCGGGGCTGCCG